TATGGTCAAATAAAATATATAACAAAATAATAATAATAATACACACAAAACCAAATTTTCAACACTTGGTTTTAAGAATCTAAACTTTCACAGCTCCGTAGTTGAATTGTTATTAATTCACTACAACAGTATTTCCGTAAATTCCAAAGGAGACGGCCCTCCAAAAGACAACCTTATCCAATGTCGAAGAAAGAGAAACCCATGCCCCTTAAAATCAATCCAAAAAAATTCAACCATTTTTTTTAACTCAACTTTAACTCAACCTCACTATCATTAATTTTATCAATATAATAAAATAATATCAATCAATCATTCTTACACACAACATCAACCTTAATTCACTATTCATCAACTCACATAATTTTAACTAACCATCACATCACATCTTCTCTCTCTTACTTTTACATCAAATTAATTTTAATTATTTTATTTTAAATATTATTTTAATTTACCCACTAACAACTAACCATACCAACTTTTTCAAATTTAACCAACCCAAACCAAAAAATCTAATCAAAACCAAAAGAATTTATATCCAAGCATGCAATTAACTGCACTTACCTCCGAAACAAGTAATCGATTGTAGAACCGAAAAAAAAAAGAATTTACAAATTATAAAAATTACACATAACTATTATTTATGTAAAATATTAGTAAAATAATAAAAATTAATTCAATATCATTTTTATACCTCAAAATGTAAATCGTATCTCGTCATTAATTTTAAAATGTAAATATACTTTGTAAATACTTTGTAGATACAAAAAAATTGTGGTTAACCAAATGGCGCCACGTGTAAATTAATGTATTAAAAATCAAGTCAAATTTTTATTTATATTTTAAAGATTTTCACATATTTAATTATTGAATTTAAATATTTAATTAATTGATATTTTGATATTTTAATTTTTGGCCAATCAAATCATGCCAAGTGTCAAATCTTATTTCTTGGTAAATAAATCATATGTCTTCAAGAAGATCCTGAGAGATTTAAATAGATCGATAAGATCTTATGTGAATCATCATGGATCAATCAAATCGCGTCATACGATTCTTAAATTGGTAGGGTTCTCCTACACCTATAAATAAGGACTCTTCTTAAAGAAAAAAAACACACACACACACACACACGCTCACAACTAATATTTATGTTCAAGAGCTCTAGAGAATTCTCCCGACAAGATTGAAGTATTCTTGAAGATTCAAAGCAATATTCAAGCACGTTCATCTTCAAGACTGACCTTTAACCCGGAAACAAGTTGTCAAGCCTCCAAATTGCGTTAATAAACTTAAAATCGGTGTAAAGAAGATCCAAGATCAACTTTGTGGCGAAGACCAAGGACTCGTGTTTTTCACGTTCTTGGGATATGAAGGCGTTTGATCCGAAATCAAGGCGTTGACTCTCAGATTAACGTTAAATCAAGTCAAATAGAAGATCAAGCCGAATATTTCGCTCCAAGACTTAAAAATCATTTTTAGAAGAATCAGATGAGAAAATAGAGATTTTAATCCACAAAATCCATTTGATTCGAGAAATCAAATTGTAAAATATATTTCGTGTTTATAAATTCAATACACGAAATTTGTTATTACAAATTTCTGGCACGCCCAGTGGAACATCTCTACATCTAATCTCTTCTCCAAAATTCATCAAATCATCATGACTAGTCGCAAGATTGTCGTAGTTAAGGTTCCTACAACAAGTTCCTCAAGCTCCACCCAAGAAGCATGGCCAAACAGCTGCAAACATCTTCGGAGACGACTCCTTTGCACGAGGTGATCAGAAGTGATAAGCTGCATCTTACCCACGAACGTGATAAAGACGACTCTGATTCCTCAACTCCTCGTTCAACATCAATGTAATTCTCCGTTTGATTATTGAATTTTTGGGAATTATTTATTATTATTATTATTATTATTATTATTATTATTATTATTATTATTATTATTATTATTATTTATTTTTATTTGTTGTTATTATTATTATTTGAATGCTAAATATTATTAAATGTCTAAAATGAATTATTTATCAACTTGCGATTAAATGTCTAATTGTCTAAATGATATTTACTAACCAAATTGTAATTAAATGCTTAAATGTCTAAATGTTATTATTATAAAATGTATATATTTGCATTATTGTTAATATTACTATTTTATATTTTAATTGTGTGTATAATAATACCCGGCTTATTTATTTTATTGTGCGATTTAATTTCCGAGCCTCGTATAATTTTCGAGTCGGACCCGAGAGAACCGACCGATTTTGATTATTTTCCGTAGCCATTTCGAGATTAGTTTGGCCCAACCCAAATTATTTTGAATGATCCAATTTGGATAAATTTTGAGCCATTTAAATTAAAGCATTTGGCCCATTCATTTGTTTTAACTCCTTGGCCCAAAAGAAGTTGGAGTTCAACGTCAGATTTCCGTTCCTTCTTCTTCGCCGCGAGTATTCTCCTTCCCAAATCAGAATTTCTTTGCGATTTTGTGGGAGATTCTCCATCGCACGTTCACCTCTCTTGTCCCTTATATCTTGGCTAGAGAAATCGGTTCGTTTGAAATCACATGAAGAAATTCCACATCTTTTTCCCTGCTCTCTCCCTCCCGCGGCTTTAAATTTAATTCCGTCGCCGGCGTCTGAATGCCGTTTGCTTAAAATTTCCTTGTTAGCTATATGAGCTATTTAATTCTGGCGAGCCCCCTCAGTGAATAGCCGCTGATTTCCATTTTTAATTCGCGAACCCTTCCGCCAGAGCCGTTCCTTGCAGAGAAACATCGAGCCCTCGTTTCCCCAACTCGTCTGACCCCGAAGCTCAGTCCGCCAATCGATCCAGAAAGCCAGTCCGTCGCCGTTCTTTTCCCGAGCTCAGTCGCCGGCCATCGTCGTGGTCAGCCCCGTTCTCCGTTCGCGAGCAGCCATCTTGGTTTTGTTCATCGAGCCCGACCATTTCAAGTTCCGATCGTCCGATTTTTCCAACCGAACCCGAAGAAAGGTATTCTTCGATCAGTACCTTCTCGTAAATTGTCCAGATTGGATATCGTTCGATTATTTCGTAATTATTCGTTGATTATATCGTACTCGTGTACTTGTTGATTATTGGCTCGTATAATTGTATGTTCGTCGGATTATGATTCGTGTCGTGGAATTGTTGGGACTCTCTCTCGTAGTTTTAATCGAGCCTTGTTGCTGTGTATATTATCGTGTTATTTGGAGTTCTTGTTTTGGGTACTCCCGAGTCGTCGTTGAATTTCTATTTGTTCATGAATTTTCATTCGATGTGTAGTCATTCCGTCTTTTTTCAAAAATTTCGACTTTTATAAAAATTCGATCTCAGGAGAAATTGTTATTTTGTTAATGCTCAAAACCCGTGCGAAATCGCTCTGTGGCCGGATGAAGTATATTTGCAAAACGCGCTCTGTTTTTGTTGAGGCGCTGCCAGAAAAATATATCTGTTCTTTTGTTCCCAGCAGCTATTTTTTTTCTATAGTTTTAGTAAGTATTATTTGTCTTTTAAGTCGCAACCAAGCCAGTGGTGCGGTGGTGACCTGCGTTCACTTTCGTGCGTGAGGTCCCGTGTTCGAATCACTTCACCAGCAGCCCTTTCTAATTTTTTCGCCCAGCTCAGAATAACCCCTAGGCGCGCGGGCCGCTTGGCCCGTTTCCAGCCCGCGCGCGGCCCGTACCCGGTCAGCAGTTTCAGCCCACGTTCCGGCCCGCGTTCTCCGTCAGTCCTGGCCCGCGATCAGCCCAGTCCAGGCACTTTTTGCGGCCCAATTTTTGGGTGCCAGGCCCAATTGTTTCGCGGCCCATTTTGTTTAGTGGCCAGAGCCTTTGGGCAAGCTTCCAGCGCGGCCCAGCTCGTCTTCTTGGCCCTTTTTGAATTCCGGAAGCCCGTTTTTACTACCGATTTCAATTTTAAAAATATTTTCAAAACGAGAAAAATTTGGAAAAATTATTTTAAATCTCGAGACTCTATTTTTGGTCCCCGAGTCTTTTCTTTTAAAAATGTGAGAGTTCCAAGTCCACGATAAAATCCGATAAAAATCCCTTAATCATTATTTTTGATTAAGTGTGAATTATATGTTAATGTCGAGTAGTGAGATAAATTATTGGTTAAAATTCTCACTTAAATGTAGGTGTTTGAGGAGTCGAGCCCTCTACCTACCGATTTATTTGTGTGCTTTTTCTACCGATTTACCAGGTGGGTTTTATTTGAAAAGTTTCTATGCATTAATTAACTGTTATTGTTGTGGTATGATCAAAGTATGCATGTGAACCATGTAGCCCTCGATGTGAGCTATTTTGGCCGTCGAACGGTTATCCCCGTAGCTATAGAACGTACCCGATGGGCTGTCTCCTTTATTTATATATGGCAGTCAGGGCGTGAGCCTTGGCTAGTGATCCTCGATGTAAGTCCGAAGGGATGTTTCCGGGCATTCGGGGTGGATTTACTCCCACTGTCTGGGCATCGAATGTAAGGCCCGCGGGGGTTTTCGATACGTGTATCAACAGTAGTCTATTGGTATAGGTGTGCACATGAGAGTTGACTCTGGGAAGGAGATGGGGTATTAATTGATTTGTGTTCATACTGCGACCATACTTGCCTTATTTTATGAAATTGAATAATAATTATTGCATAGTGG